AGGGAGGAGGGAGGAGGGAGGAGGGAGGAGGGAGGAGGGAGGAGGGAAAGGGAAAGGGAAAGGGAAAGGGAGGGACAGGGAGGAGAGGGAGGGAGAGAGGGAAGGAGAGGCAGACAGACAGACAGAAAGGTAGACAGGTAGAAACAAATAGCACGGTAGTTGCGTTAAAGTGCAAATGGAAGATAAGAAGGTAGGTCCTATGTAAGCCTGTCTTTTGTAAGAAAATTGCCCGAACAGATAGAAGATACACCATGTTTTAAGCGTTCCAATCAAATAGAAGAAACCCATGAGCAGTATCTTCTAAAATAGGGCAACGCATTATAAGTTTTGCGGATCAACCCTTCTTATTTACATTGCATTGTACAGTTGTTCTTTTAGAAACATTTCGAGGTAGCTGGTCCGAGCAAATATGGTGAATGATGGCGAAACTGCATAATTGAAAGCAGGTACTCGAAGACCATCCCCTAGTTTCCACTGTAGTTCTGGAAGCACCATCAGGTTTGAACTTAACAGGCATTGAGATGTCTTGGACACCTTGCTATTGCACTGGGGAATTGGCAGAGCAAGCTCACTCAAGCTGAGGATGATTGCAGAAATGCTTGGCGTTCTAGATGCATTACCATTCATGTGAGTCGATCTTTGTTAACAGCAGCAAGCAGATATCAATAGCACACAGAAAAAGAGAGTGTTTGTGCATGGAACATATTGAACAAAACTGTCTTATTCAACTACGATATTTGCATGCGCATGATAAGTCTACGCTTTGCAGAGATCGTTCTACTGTAGAACTAGCAACTAAGATGTATTATTTTTACTGCATTTCCTTCCCTCGTGTATTAATGTGTCATGTGAACATCGAATGTATTTCCCCACACGCTCAGGTATGGGCGAGAAAGCCGACAAAGATAAAGTGGTGCCAAAGGGTGCCTTTGAAGGGGTGGCCACCTGGCCGCAGATTTCCTCCAGGAATTGAGAGGAAGCAAAGTTGAACATCTGCATTTGGCTTTCTCCGAAAACCATGCTTTCTCAGTGACAAGTTCTTTTTGGCATTCTCCAACGGCGTAATTGTTCTCTTCAACATTTTTGACAGAGTCCCAGAACTCCTGCTTGGGATTCGTGCAAGAGCTCCCAGAATGGACATAAAAGGATTGGTAATTCTGATGCAAAGCATTAGTTTTATATCCCCAAGTGGTTGAATCATTGACCACCTGGCAATTTTCTCTTTTTGTAACTTGTGTCTATGACCTATTTCTTAGTCCATTTCACACAATGTTGCCTGGATAGACCATTGCTTCCAAATTCCACGCGGCTAGGTGAGAGCCTACAATCCTGCGAAAGGACGCTTTGATGGATTCAAGAGAGGGAAGGCAAAACAAATGAAAGACGTTGTTTTGTAGATCTCCTGAACCCGTAGAAAGATGTTCAAACTGAAAACGGTTTGTTTGCATCGAGCTGGTGCAAAACTCAAGAGCCTCGCAAGATCTACCAAGGCTTTTTTTCTGACAATAGCTCATGACATGTGTTTGTGTTTGTTTCTTTGTCTTCTTTTGCCCCAACATAGCCCGGAGACCTGATGAGTGTTGAGGCTTCGGCTTTATTGAGCCGGCGATGTATCGTCTGGGCCTAAGGCGGTGATCACAACGCGGTGGCCTCCAACCTAATAGCAAAAGGCACCTAAGAGCGATGGCCTCCCGGCCTCCCCCCAACCCAAGAGCGATGGCCTCCCCGTAAGAGCGATGGCCTCTCCTTAAGAGCGATGGCCTCCCCTAAGAGCGATGGCCTCCTTTTAAAGCCATTTGGCAATATGTTTGTTACAGCACAGCACGTTGTCATCACAATTCGACTTCTAGCATTGTAGCATTTTGTTACAACGTGTTCGGTTTGGAATGACCCCATCAAGACTATTTCAAGCATACCGAGGCCAGCCAGTGCTGCTGAGGGCAGTGGATTGTATTAGAGAGCCAAAGGTGGGAGAAATGGTGCTCTTTGACGTGGAGCCCGTGAAGATGGACTGGCGCAGAGTTGGCTTGCTCTAGTGCTACATTGTAGTGGCTACCGCTCCTACTGATCCAGAATCTTCAGCCACAGCTAGCCTTGAGCTAGCTCTACAAGACTTCCACACATTGAAAGTTCAGGAGTACCAGAGAATGGATACACTATCAGTTAGCCTTGCAGGCCTCCAAGAAAGATGACTCAAGAAAGATGTCCGACTCCGCCTAATCTGACTAATTTGTCGAGCTCTTGATTCAGGAGGATGGCACCGTTCAGCTCAAGGCTCTCAATGTGCAGCTTGCCCCAAGCCAGTCGAGTGCAGAAATAGACAGGTAGCAAACCATTGGAAGGCTCGGGAAAGCATTGCAATATGCTAGCAGCGACTTGCAGCGTCCAATTTCTCGCAACCTTCTCTAGAGTTATGATGTACATTAAAGCTAGTTCTGATGACACAACAAGAAATAACAAGGCATAAACAAAGCAAAGCATGGAAAGCCAATGCTCCAAAAAATGCACAGAAAACGCAAAACAAGTCACCAAGGGAAGCGTTGCAATGCACACAAATGCAAACAAAATGCAAAAGAAAACTGCATTTGTCCACTAAACAAATGCAAAAACACATGCACGAAGCATGCAACACAAAAAAATGCACAAAAAGGCAAAAACATGTAAACAAAAAGCAAAACAGTTGCGATCAAGAACGCTCTGGTCTTTGCCTTTGCATTTCTTTGCCCTTTATTTGCAGTTTGTTTGAGTTTTTTGCAATTTTTTGTGCGTTTCCTTGGGAAAACACAAAAAACATCGCAAACACCACACAAACAATCGCAAAACACACGCAAAAACATCGCACATAAAACGCACAAACATCGCCAAAAAAGGCACAAAAAAGGTTGTGTGTGAAATTTGGTTGTGCATGTGCATTTTTTGTGCGTATTTTGTTCGCTTTTGTTTTGCGTTTCTTTTTTTTTGCAACATTTGTGCGTTTTTACATGCACTCTGTTTGACCAGCTGCCTTTTTCTTGCCCTTTTCATGCCTTTTTTGCATTTCCTCGTCATCATTTCTGAGTGTGTTTTCTAAATGAATCCTTGAGATTTCAGAGTTAGGCTGTAAGGCACATCATAACTCTAGAGCACTAGGATTAGGATCGTTGTGCATCCCATATTTGAGTATAGACTATAGCATACTACGTTGCATCTAGGAAGGCATCTCAAATGTTAACCCTAAAAACACGCACGTGCACACACTTAGAGAGTTGCTCGCAAGAGCTCAATCGGCAGTGAAGTTCCACTTGACTTGAGTGAACCGAATGGTGCAAGAACCGGGAAGCGATAGAGTCCGTATAGTTGAAGATGTTAAACAATCTGTTTCGGTGCATTAGCCGCTTACTGCGAAACACAGTATTGGACAGCGTGTCAACAGTTCAAACATGTGTAGCAGGTACTGGGCGTCTTCGTTGGTAGCGGTCCCACCCCCTGCCTCTTTTTTTTCTCGCGCTGTTAAAGTTAGTTTTACATACTAGACATTGTGTGCAGCCTTGGAAACAGGCTTTGACACACTTTGACATTGGTTTTCAGTTAACTCAGTTCCCAGGTCAAAAATGGCGAAGGAACGGCAGGGTGAAAGGTCCGAAAAGTTGAAGGTGTTTGAACAAAGGCTGTTTCTCAAGTCTGCAGAAAGTCGGCGGCGGCGAAAACGAGCGGCGCAGCTGACGGCGGCAAACGAAAAAAGGTTTAAGGGGTAGGTATCATGAAGGACCATGAATCAAACTGATCAAACTGGACAGCGTGTTCAACAGTTGTAGCAGGTACGTTTGCAGCCCCCCCCCCAGTGGCCTCTTCGTTGGCCATCCGCCACTGGGGAGGGGGATGGCCCCCTGCTGTGAAAAAGGTAGAAGTTGGCAGTGAACCCTTTGGCACAGGGGTTGACACACACAGGTCGCCGTAATCGGCGCTTTTTCTTTTCAAAAACCGGCTGCAAGCAGTTGGGTGGTGTCCTTTTGGGACGTAGAGCTGCACTAGCTCAGTGGCAGCAGCGTCAGCGCTTGAAGGTGGAAAGGTGTATGTGCTGGTGCTTGTCGACGTGCTTGAGGATGTGCTGGTGCTTGTTGACGTGCTTGAGGATGTGCTGGTGCTTGTTGACGTGCTTGAGGATGTGCTGGTGCTTGTCGACGTGCTTGAGGATGTGCTGGTGCTGGTTGACGTGCTTGAGGATGTGCTGGTGCTTGTTGACGTGCTGGAGGATGTGCTGGTGCTTGTTGACGTGCTTGAGGATGTGCTGGTGCTTGTTGACGCGCTGGAGGATGTGCTGGTGCTTGTTGGCGTGCTTGAGGATGTGCTTGTGCTTGATGTTGTGGAGAAACTGGAGG